CGCCGAACAGGCGTGAGCTGCCCTAGTTGCTCTTATTATATTATAATATAAAGCATAAATTACCGAAAACATTTTCGTCTAAAGGTCGACAACAATTGAGATACTGCACCTCTTAGAAGAGGAGGCAGTTCATCCTATACTTTGGGTGAAGCGTATGGAAAACTATTAATAATAATAGTACTTACTTAGAATAGTAAATTGTATATGTCATTCTTAAAATGTTACTCAACAACTTTTCAGGAGAGAGGTTTAAAGATTTTACGAACGAAATTAGTCGATAACTTTTTAGTGCTTAGATAGGAAAGTTATGAAGTTTCACATTATACATAATTTGTTTCATAAAGTTCGTATAGTTTTTTTTTTCACGTGATAATAAATTTGACGTATAATCACTCAATAGTACCTTATAGTTCGGCTTAGAATTATATACACGGAATGTATATTTTTCTTAAACATGCTCGGAAATGTTTGCATAACTTTCAAAAAACGACCACGGAAAGTTTGTTATTTATGCCGCCATGCGACTTCTTCCCGGCCCAAGGCCTGCAACGTAAGTATGAAAATCCATTACAGGGGGCCTACTATGAGCTTATAACCAGCCAGCCAAGTTCCATGCAATTCACTTGACGTGGTAAAACTGAATTGCTTAAATTCGTATCCATGACCTACACAAAGTTGAACGGGAATGGCATGACAGGATGATGAGTTTTACTTTTAAATGTTAATTATTGTCTCTGGTTGACTAGCTGACATCTAACAAGAGCAAGATGGAACTACATACTAAATCTATGAAAGAAATAGACAGATGTATTGTCCTGGGAGCGTTCAAGCACTATTAAGCGATTGTCAAAATGTGAATAATTATATTTCTTTATTAATTTTATTATTACGTGAGGCGCACTGTAAGTTTCCGGAATGAATAAGAAAAAATACTATAAATGGTCATAAATGAATTTATTTTTTCTCAAAGTATTCAACAAAGACAAAACCCTGTTAATGTGTGGCCCTGCATATTTCAGGTGCTCAATACTGAGCCCATCATGCCCCGGAGACTTGCCTCTTTTCATATTATTAATTGCCAATCTCACATCTTTGGCAGTGACTTTGACAGGTTGCTCCACATGACAGGGCTCAGCATCAGACACCCCAGAGCTTGGCAAAGTTGGTTCAATCTTAAAGTGATCTTTAAACATATTCGCAACACTCTTTGGATCGCTTATGACTTCTACACTAACCGGTAATTCCACCCTACCATTAAGGTTTTTGCTTTTCCAAAATTTGTCAAACTGTTTAGCTGAGTGCTGCTATGCAAGTATGAAACTATGAACTATGAAACTGAAAATATAATGAAACTTAAACGAAATTTCTTAAAAAATGTAACAAAACCTGAAAAAAGTTAGTCACGGAGTAATTTTGTTGAATTGCTTATTTTTACAGATTTGCATGACAAATGGCACGTCATGATACGATTTTGCTATGAAAGAAAAGGTGAACGGATTTCGAATGGGGAACGTAAACTGCATGGACAGTGAATTGTTTTTGTGAGGTCATAGTATGAATTTGACACGCAATCCAACTTACAGACTTAAATAGGATTTACTCTGTACTCTTGTCTAAGCTTTTAAATGTACCTACTTATAATGAACTATGTAAACAGACAAAAGAAAAATTCATACAGGTAACTGCCCAGTGTTCATAACTGCGAGAATTAAAAATACGTACCTGTACAGCTTACTTAAAAAAAAGAAAATGGCTATAACATTTAAACCAGAGTATTTTGGTATTCTTTTGTTTTTTCGTCTTTTTTGTATTTTGGGCGAAAATGAGTGCTAATGAGAAGATGCTAACGAATATACAGTAATAGATATACATTCAAATATATCATCAGAAGTTCAACAGACTACATTAATGTGCCTGGAAAAACAATAACATTTTCAGAAAAAATTCCTTCGATCCGGTCGGATTTGAACCGATGTCTTCTTGCATACCGTGTCAGACGCTATACCAACTAAGCCACGGAATGAACCAACGGACCTCAAGAATTTTTCTATGTGCTTGCGTTGTGTCTTTGTATTTGGTTTTTCATTTTTTCTGAGTGTTCGATCTTTGTATTAATAACTATAACAAACTAGTGGAGTCATTTCACAAAAAATAATTGAATATCAATTCAATAAAGAATTAATTAATAACATTTTCTTTTAACAATTGAATTGTATAAATATTAATGTTAATTAATATTTTTTTGCTTTTTCTATAATACATCTTCCTCCCTTTAGTATTTTATTATTTCCTCGCATTGCTTGAAAAAAAATCCTCTTTGAGAAAATTTGCCTCTCTGGCGCTCGTGCTTGTAACTCACACTCGTCCAGCAATCCCTTACTTCCCGGCCTCTGCAATAATATATTATATTTACAAAATCATTAATAGCGAGAATTAACTTCTTGCACCTAACCTTAACTCTTCAAAAGACTTTTAAGAATCGTTACACAGATATATAAAATTACAAAATACATTTCGATAACAACATTTTGTTATGATAACGTAGTGAAATCCTTTGATTACTTACTGAGAACGATATAAAGATTAAATTGTCGTCGTAATTTATTATTTTAATCCGAATTATTCAAATAAAGATTTGTTGTTCCATTAAACTTCGGCAATAATTTCCACACGTAGACTGATAATATTATCGTTATCAATGTAATTTCGATGGTTTTAGGTATTGCCGTGATAACGTCTCACTGTTTAGTTCGGGTATCCTCTAAATAAAGAGTATGAGTAAATCTGCGGTTAATGGGTAGGGACTCTACGCCTCTTACGAGGGGTTTTTTCACAGAAAAATAAATACAGTAGAAGTGGTTAGTTAGCGTCTGACGCGTGCCAAGTAATCATGAAATAAGTAAATCTCGAAATACTTATCTGAGCTCAGTCCACCATTTTCGCTTTGTATGGTATGGTTGTGTCATTATTTCATGCAAATTCTCTAAAATTCCAGAAAAATGCCTTATTGTGCTGTTTTGGAGTGCAAGATAGCCGCAAAATGTTACCCGTGGTAGTATTTTATATCTTCGGAAAGTCTTATTTTCATAAATTGTCAATTTTCTGTTTATCGAAATATTTTTTTGTTACAAGAAACGAAAGTAAAGCTTATACCCTTGCAATTTTGTCGCTTCTTTTTTGGAGAACTAAATTAATATCTCCAACTCGTCATCGTTCAGCAATTAACCGCTAGATGGCAGCACATTGACTGACATTTCAATGTAATATCAAAACGTTGTCTTGCAATAATAGGTATTTATGGTATTGAACGTTCAACGATACGCCAACAGAGTAAAATTTAAATTATATTAAGAATCCAGAATTTGTCATTTCTTTGTATATTTGAAATTACGACTAATCAATATCAAGATTTTGTAGTGTTTCTAATTAAGAATGTGTCTAATCGGGGCTTAAGGCACTTCCATTTTTTTTATTCCGTGGGTTTTTTGCTCTCTCCGATCCCTCTGTACACGAAAGGAGCATCCCCGCACGACGTACCATTATTCCTTTCCTGTACGTCTGGCGCATCCTGCGCAATGACGATGGCAAATCCTTTCACCACGATAGCAAGCATTCTAGTGTACACCATCTATAGGAAATTAATAACTCTCTCCAACCCGTAGTTTATTCTTGGAATTTTACATTACGGGTATTTGTATCGTAATAAATCAGACAAACTTATAATTTGTCACAAATTACTTACTCGTTGGTAATTTGCTCTTCGATGAAACACGACTAATAGAAAAAAGCCAAATATTTATATTTGATTGCACAGTCGTAGTCCTAAGATACCTGGCCCTCTAACCGTCTAATTGGTTCTGAGTAGATCAAAGTAAGTAAGATAAAAGTGTAAAGAAAGGCGTTAAACAAACTTAACCTATAACCTTTAACCTGTGAGTCGTAGAATTTATTTTGGTATGACTTCCTTATTGCATCATTGGTGAATGACATTTTAAGAGTCTTTTTAAGCCAATTTTAGTACCAGTAGAGCTCCTTGTGAAAGAATTCGTCCAGGGAAGTGCTGCCACCTTACCTATTTCTGCCGCCAAGCAGTAATATGGACATTACTGCGTTTTGGTTTTGAAGGGTAAGGGTGCTGGTGAAATTACTGGCACATGGGACTTTTCAACTTACGTCTCAGGGTGATGGGCGCAGAGGCAGTGCACCTCAGCTCTTTGCGATTTAAAGCTCTGACTGGTACTGCAACTGTTATAGACAGGCGTGTCGTTTACCGTTAGGAGCACGACTTTTTCGTCCCATCACTTAAAAAAAAATATTGATCTTTAATTACATTTCATAAATACAATCAAATAGCTTCCCAGCTCTCCTTTGCACTTTTCTGTTAAATGCGAAAGAAGGCTCTGATAACCAAAAGGTCGATTAGGGTGTGAAATATCTTAAGGCATAGACTGTACATCAAAAAAATATAGTATAATTTTTTAAAACAACATTTCTCAAGAGTAATTGTTTATTCCGTCTTTGGTATTAATAGCGGTTGACTAATGGCCGTTGGAAACAACAGACATCTACCACATTGATCCAAAACAATAGCCCTTTCCTCCATCGAAGGGACTCGATCCTACTCTCACCAAAGTATAATTGTGCGACGTCATTGTTTGTTAAAAGTTTGAAGCCAGGCGACAAGGCGTCTCTGAAGCTACCTTTAATAATGAGCCTTTAATATAGGCTTTAAACTTTTCCTTCAAAGAATTATAAACTTTGGCAAAATACCTGACCTGGTAAATTGATAAGAAATTCAATTTAAAAATTCGCGTTGAAACTTGTTTTAAAAGTGTATTTAATCGGTCCGTCATCACCCACTTATCAAATTAACGAAATAGTTATACTTTTGGAATATCTTAACGTAAAACAATCTGCGTGAATCACTACTTATGTCGAATTGAATACGCTGATAAGATTTTAAATTATAGTAAGTATTTAAACCCACACATTTACGCCATCCTATTACTTACGTAGTCGTCCTCCGTTTCGGATCACAAATATTAATTACTTGCAATATTTGTCGCGCGTATTTTTTACCGTCGTCTTAAACAGTTTGTTAGACAATAATTGTTTTCAGTTCTGTAATAATTCAGTTTGTTAGCATTGGAAAAGAGTCAAAATGGTAATTATAGCGGATCATGTTGCCCTGCTTAAAAAGCAGGCAGCTGAACGACACAACATCAGCACAGAAAGATGTCACATAGGACACGTAATATTGGAGGGGATGCTGCAGTACCCTGATACCATCCATCAGGTAAATGAAATAAATATATTCAATTTATAAATGTAAATACACTTCAAAAATAAAAATAATATTATTGTAGGTAACAGTTTTTATGTTCAATAGGTATTTTGATGCAATACAAAATTTTAAATAAAAATAAATTCAAAGTATTTTTTATTCGTGTTATTGATTTATTTGTGTTATTCAATTTTAATTGAAACGGTGGTTGTAAAATCGAAATAAATACTTTATACATGTTAATATGATAGTGAGTTAAAATGACACCCTTGTTGTAATAAACCTATAAGTGCAAAATGACAACTTAACAAGATAGAGTTAGAGATGTCAATAAGTTTTTTTTGCTTAAATAAGAGAGGCATAAAATATCACGTAATACGTATTTAGTTTCATTTATTTCGTATACGAGTAGTTTCATGTAATAAAAGCACAGCAAGGCCTTACAATATTAATACGAATTATCACATTATATTATCAAGTAGGGATAACATAACTTGCAGTTAAATTTATACAAAGCATCGTTAAAAATGTGTTTTGACTAATCAATGTGTCTAAACACATCAGTGCAAAATAGCATAAAACACGTAGCAACAAAAATTCAAGAATATTTTCTCTCACTAAATTTGTGTGTAATTAGTTTTTAAAAAGGCAACTAAATAACGTTGTAAAAACAAAGTTATGTCACTATTTCTTAATAATACATTTCACTAAGCATTCTTACGCTATTACTGTAGCAATTTCACATAAAGAGAATTTTATTTTAAAATAAAAAGAAAACCTGCAAAAGCAATCAAGTTACTGGAATATAACGCAAGTGGCGTGTCGCGAGCATAGCCTTTACTGTTTTCCACACAGAAAAACATTTGCTGTAAAATATTTGCGAAAACTAAGAACTTCTGAGTAAAATTACGGTGTTCGTTTATTTACAAAAGTGTGGTTCAACAATGTATGATTCATCCGAGACAGCGCCAATATAGTTATAAAGGTTTAATCTAGCCGTGTTGACTTTTGCGTAAAATTAATCAAAATTCAGGGCATTGCTATACTGAGTAAACGTCTTATTACGGTAGATAGAGGCTTTTGATGAATATCCAGGCCAGATAGAATACTCAATTCGCGTAAATGAACCTACAAAGCTGTTGGCTTTTACTTTTCCATGTTATTCGTCTTAGGTGTATTAGGTTTTATTTTTGATACCACGAACAAGTTGTGTGCACTGTTAGTTTTAAATTGAAAGATCTGGGGGCCTAACACAACCTCTTAAAACAATATTACTTTAACCTTACATTGACTTTTCGCACCAAAACGCGCTCAAAGTAAGCTTATTGTAATGATAAAACTATTATGTTTTATTGGCAGCTTTGTGACTACTCATTCACTCAGTTCGTAACATGGCGCGACTTTAACATTAAAGTAATATTGGTCGTATGTCAAATTTAGCAATCTTAAAATAGTTACACGAATGCAATGGAAACAATATTATTTTCAGTTTTATTGTCTTAATATTGATTTGTGATGATTAAAAGTGAAGTTGAACTTATTTATTTACATATATCTCTTCAATGTTTTGTTTATTTTTTAATTATTGGCACATAGTAAATAATTGTTCTTTAAATAAAAATACGCGATGTCTATTTCGTTGTTTTAGTTGGTGAAACTAACAGTTGACACTAGACTATAGTTCCGAATTCATAACGTGACTATCAAGTTTCATTTTGTTTTATTTATTTTTCTTCATGAAAATGCGGAATGCTTATTGAAAAGAACTTAATTTTAATACATTTTATTAAAACATACTTTTCTTTTTTTGACAGTTAACATTTTCTGAATGTAAATAACATAAAGTACTTAAACATTATACTACGATAATACGATTCGGAACATCAAAAAAGAAAGAGATGGCATTATACATATAGTTCATATAGCGTTATCTCTTTCCTATTTTTAGTAAGGAATAGACAATATTGGGAAATCGTTCGTTTTTTCAATCACTTTTGCAATAAATAATACATTACTTGATTGACAGGTTCGTCATGGTACGAATATGAGTAATATTATAATAAACTTACTTTAAGCTTACATTGAAATAAGATTGTTTTTGGAAAGGTTATGGTAGGCCCCCTGAGGTTTAATTCCACTGCACCCGTCATAGACGTGTAGTTCACAAGTCCTATGTGCCTGCTGTTTCACCATTACCCTTCAAACCTAGAAAGCAGTTATGCTCAGAGTATTGCTTGGCAGCTGGAACGGGTACGATGGCAGTACTTCTCTGGACTAATTCTTTCACAAGAAGAACTACTACTGCCAAAAACGGTGAAAAAAGCGAACGGTTATTTTTATAAATTCTGTTTTTTGTCGTATATATATTTTTATTATTTTGGTACGTACTTAGATAATTATAACACCGGGATATTTACAAGTAATAATATTGTAAGATCGTGTCTGCGTACCGAAAGTTGTCAAGCGTCAATCCACTTTGATAGGATTTTTTTTATTATATTCCGCTTGTGTTATTAGCGATTCAGGGTGCTGCCTTAAAATACCTAAAGTGCCTTTTTATTAATTGATAGTTACTAATATCCTGTAGTATTTCTTATGATACAGTGTCGTTCAAACGAGGCGTGAATAGGTGTTTTGTAGGCATACAGGGCGGAAGTGACTAGGGTAGTGCACTGATTGTATCAACACTGCACTACGTTCCTTCACTTTGGATTCCACTTTCAATTTAATATCTTCTTGGGATTGATTCTGTGTTTATGATTCTAGTATGATTGTCGAATGTTTGCTTGACATGTTTCGAACCAGTTCTTGGTCCTTAATCATGAGTATATAATCTTGAGTATGCCTTTAATAAGAGTGAAGCAAACAAGGGTAGTTCCTCGCCGCCCCGCATATGCCCGCAGCCGTACTGAGTGACCAGGCTGTCACAGCTTTGGCGTGCAGTTTCCGTCGCGTCACCGCCGCGAAATCTCATGTTTAAGAATCACGTACTGGTTCGAAATATGTCGAGCAAAAAATCCGACTTAAATACGTGATTTATCCGTTAGTTTACTTAATATATCTGAATCTAACGGTGGTTGTCAATTTAAACCAAAAACAATATCTGCTTGAAAAAAAAAATCTATCATTTCCAATGTCAGTCAATTAACATAACTTAGGAACTCGACCTTTATATGTACTGCAAAAACACACAACTCGCGAAGCCAAGCGCGACTCTATATCTGCATATAATTACATCGCAATCCCCACTGTCCAACTAGCCGTGGACAACGGGAGGCGAGCGCGCCAAGGACTCCGGTACCTATCAGGACAATAGGGAAGGTATTGTACATGGGGTCGCTCACACATGGCACTAGTCTTTTGAGCACCGGATGAAATCTATGTAAACGGGCTGATCTGGGATCCAGACTGAATAAGGTCTCTGTGCGGGCTTGCTTGCACAGGTAATAAATAGTGCCGTTCGATAACTATCAACCTCTTGGTTATACAGGATAGCCAACAGGTTGATAGTGAGGGGCACAATAAACAAAACTTGAGCAAAGAGATATGGGCCTGTCCAACTAGCCGCGCGCGACCTAACGTGTTATTGTGAACGTGAACATTTACCGACATTAACATGTAATTTAAAAACGTCGTGTCTTGTTCCTGTAAGTCATTAATTATATAACGAATAAAATGCATCCATCACTTGTAGAGCGTTCTCTTAGCAAAGAATGTGTCTAAAGTATATATTTTCGTTTTCTTTTTGATAACAAGTATAGTCATGTTACTTCCATTTTGAAAATGAACTCTATTGTATTGCTGGTTGTATGTAGAATACAATTGCAGGCATCCAGACGTGCATGCAATCGCTATTAAAACTAGCCGCTATGGCTCCGGCTTCTCGCGTCTAGTCGCTTAGTGGACTCTTTAACAACAACATTTAAATTATCTAATAAACTGCTGTTATTCTAGGATTTTTGAAATTCTAACAACAAAATATATTAACGATTTATGACCAGTTCTTGTAAACTTTTTTAGCTGTATAACAATTTTCAACAAGCATATCAAGTCATAGTCTGATATTGATAATATTATTACCAACCAATCAATCAATCAATTAGTACTTTGTTGCATTTTCTACAACGTTTTACAGTGTTTTTTTCTTATTATGTTTCAATGATAAGCATGCCGTTATCCTAATAGATTTATTATTAGAACATATTTTGGTAACATATTCTATTCATACGTGTCGGATAAAACAAACGTAACAATAAGCAAACTTAACCATATAAATATAAGAGATTAAAGAATATATCATCAATGAAAAAAAGGAATACGAAATCAGATAAAATTACATTACAGGTAATGTTACACAATTACGTTTAATTACAAGTGTCTTTATCAAAAAAATCCCCAATATGATAAAATTATCAAGAAAAAAGTGGCACGAGTGTTATATTTATTTTTATTGAATATCATTATGTTTTTACTACTGTGATATTCTAATTTTTAGCAAAAATACTCCACTAGTTTGTTAATATTTTTGATACAATAGGTAGCTACGATGAAACAACAGACACAGGTTCGAGTTCCATTGAATCGAAGGCATTTTTCCTTGAAGCATTGGGCTAGGGGATCCTGGTAGACTCAACGTGTTTGTTCGGCCTTTGTGTCAATAATAATGTCACAAATAATTTTAAATGTTATATTGCTATCTTCATTTAGTAAGATAACTCTAGTAGCAGTAGAGCTCCTTGTGAAAGAGTTCGTCCAGGGAAGTACTTCCACCTTATCTATTTCTGTGGCCAAGCAGTAATGTGTTCCGATTTTGAAGGGTGCTTTAAGGGTGCTGGTGAAATTACAGGTACATGGGGTTTATCAACTTATTTGTCCAGGTGACGGGCGCAGTGGCAGTGCCCCTCAGATCTTTGCAATTTAAAGCTCTGAGTGGCACTGCAACTGTTTTGGACAGGGGTGTAGCTTACCTACAGGCACATGACTTGTTCATCCCATCACTTAATATTATACATAGAAATAAATAACTATTAAATATTTTTGTTGCTAGGTACTATA